TGAAGAAATATTCAAGAAATGTACGAAATTTACCATTCTGTATAATCTATCTAACATCTAAGAACCGGATTTGTATTTTAATATCAAACAACGCCGACGCAGTTCAGTGTAAAATCCGATGTGAAGGGAAATGATTCATTATATTCCAAATCTTGACTGTAGCTATTTAAGATTAGAAAATAATTTTTTTCTTTTTATTGCGTAAGTCGCTTATTATTTTATTTGTAAAACCCAATTCACTTTCGCAGCACCAAAGAACAGAAATTCGTCACTCTGTGTAGTTTATTTTCTTTTGTTGAAAGATTTTTCAAGAATAATGAGAAAATCTAGATCTCGGAATTTTCAAGAAAATTGATGAAATGCTATTTTATATTCGATCTTCCCTGAGGAACTTTGAAGCCACCGGGAATGTTTCAGTTCGCCCGTCAGTAAAATGATTCATTATATTCAGCACTTTTCTTTTGTTGCATGGACAGAGGACGGACAGCTTTTTCCCACGAACCGCTAATTTGTGGAACCGACTTAACCTATTCAAGTCTAAGGATAACCATTATTTTATATCCGAATAAACAGATTAAGAAACAATCTTAGAGATGTACAAACATTTTCGAAATTTACCACGTTACACAATCTTCCTAATATTTTGTCAGAACAGGTTTTGTTCCAACAGAATTCAATGTACAAATCCGTTAAGGCCAACAACCCATCATATACTAAGGCATGACTGTAGGTATTTAAGATTAGAAAATAATTTTGGCCAAAGTTGGTGAAATCCATGTCACTTGCACAAAACCAAAGTCATTTCTCAGCCAGTCGTTTTTGGGATTAACTTTTCATTGCTTCTTTGGATTAATTCCTAACCAAAGAACAGAAATTCTCTCTGTGTTGCGTATTAACAGACGACGGAATATGTAACATAGAAATCTAAAGGCACAGAGGAACATATTTGATTCTAAGAATTAATGAAAGTATCCAGATCTCTGAAGATTTCGTTAGAAAATAAAAAACGAAGAATAATGGACTGCTATGTCATATTCGATATTTGATCTAGTGGCCATATTTGTTAGAAAATATCCTCACAGATGAGGAACTGAACTGAAGCAACGGAGGCATAGATTAATTTAGACAGAACGTATGAGTAAGAAAAAAAGACCTTTGTAATTAATGGACTAGAAGAAAGCTTAAACTTACAATCAGCAAGAAAGAGACAATATTTCAAGGATATTTAATGCGAAAAAGAGGCTGTGGAGAGACGAAAGCTCAAAAGAGGCTGTGGAGAGACGAAGGCTCAAAAGAGGCTGTGGAGAGACGAAAGCTCAAAAGAGGCTGTGGAGAGACGAAGGCTCAAAAGAGGCTGTGGAGAGACGAAGGCTCAAAAGAGGCTGTGGAGAGACGAAAGCTCAAAAGAGGCTGTGGAGAGACGAAGGCTCAAAAGACATGTTGATGACAAAAGGAAAAGTGTGTGTGACATCGTTAAGACATGAATAGATGACAAAACAAGAACAAAAAGAATTGTAAAACGTTAAAAGTTACTTAGAGAAATATGCAGGAAGCCGTGGAGAATCATGATTGACTAAGCATCGTTTGGTTGCTAGTAAGGAACAAACACACTACTCATAAGGAATGATCAACTCAATTATCATGGAAACCAATCCCTAACAACGTAACCGCTTCAATGAATTCCATTGTACACTTTGCCTACGAGACAGATAAGATTCAATTTGATGAATTAGAGTGAAACTATTTGCACAATAGTTACTAAAAATTATCCACTTGACAAAAACACTTTTATATTAGGATACATCCTGTTTGTCTATGCGAAATTGTGTGCATTTGTGGGTGTATGTGTGTGTTGAGCGAGAGAGAGTTATTTAAAGTGATTTTGGCCAGACGATTGTGCAAGTGGAGAAAACAAATTTTGTACTTATACCAACAAACATTTTTTTTCAAAAGCCGCACATTTTATATTCCGGCACTGATATTCAGACTGAAAATTTGTTCACATTCGACTGAAAGGTAAAGTTTCTTGCAATCAGGGCGTTAATTCAAACAGCTGACACAAAGTCCCCTGATCGTAAACAGTCCGGTTGATAAACTTCAGTTCCAAACAGCTGACATGAAGGCTTCGATCAGAAACTCTCTGGATGATAAAACCTAAAATACAAACAGCTGACACAAAGGCTTCGATCGGAAACTTTCTCTATAATAAAATCTAAAATCCAAACAGCTGACATAAAGTTTTCGATCAGAGACTGTCTGGATGATAAAATTTTAGATTCATTTAACTATTCGCATCAGGATGAGTAAAAGATTGTTTTTACATATTGTAGGAATTAAATGGTTTAAAAGGTCAATTTTTTATTATTATATTATCATAATATGGTTATTATTATATATAAATATATGCCAAATTTTTAACGAAAAATAAAATCAGGAACTTTACGCGGTTTGTAAATAAGGAATTCGAAAACTGAAGATATTGTTTTTCAATTTTCATTTTATTTATTTTATTATTTTTTTATTTTTTCACGGATCATTAAAAAATTCGATGAAAAAAATGAATCGATATTTATGTGTATTCTCAAGTTTTAATTCAATTGCATTTATTTAATATATGTCTCATAAAAAAAGAACTGGTTTTTTATTCGTTAAAAAAAAAACGCAAAATTTAGTTGCATTTTTAATACCCTCCTGGTTTAACAAACAGAAATTTTGTTAAAAATTTTTTGAATTAAAACAATAATGTTTTAAAGTCCCTATTAAATTTATAAATCCCAATAAATGGGATCATATTTTGGTACAACACTTTTTGAACAGTTTTTTTATTCAGAAACAGTTTTAAACGTTTCATTATATTTATAAATACCTTCCTTTAATTGTCTTTAATCGGCAACGGTTTATAATTTTAATCTCAATTTTTTTATCGAAACTTGTGGATTAAATAACTAAAATATCCTCAAATTATACATGAAAAAAAAAAAAGGAAAAATTACCTTTAACGAATGTTTCCGATGACTGTGTTTATTAAAAAATGAAAAAAAAAAAATCGTGTGGTTTTCAAAACTTTTAACTAGATGTACGCTCATAAATATTCTAGAGTCTACTTGACAAAAACATATGAACTTCTAGAAAATTCTAATACAGGGACACCTAGAAGAGTTTTAAGGTAATATTTAATAATAAGGATGTGAACGTTCTTTATTGAGAACAACTTTATATCTCGAAAATTATCAAGAATAATCCCTTGAATCTGATTTAAAGCAAGATTTAATAATAATGATGTGAATGTTATCAATTCAAACATTCATATATCTAGAGAATTATCAAATATACAGCACTGGAATAGCTTCAATGCAACACTTGAATAATAATGATGTGAACGTTATCTAGCCAAAACAAATCTACATGTAGAAAATTCTCTTGAGGATTCTCTTGAAGTACATTTAAGGCAACATTAATAATAATGAATGTGAACATTATCAATTCAAACATTGATATATCTAGAGAATTATCAAGTAGGCAGCACTGGAATAGCTTCAATGCAACACTTGAATCTATGGTATCTCTATTTTGGCCTATAAATGAGGGAATCATCATATATATATATATATATATATATATATAAATAAAAGATTGAGGAATACTATAAACATATGCATATTACAATATTTATTTACGTATTACAACAAACATCAATAGTAAAAAATATACCATTATAATAATGTTTATTTCCAGTATAATATATCCAGTTGCCTGGTTGCTGCATCGAAATATTCATTCAGACTGGTCAGATTGTCTGATTTTCAATCCGCCGAATATCATTGCTACGTCTCATTTCAGTTTCTTCTTGAGTTTCAGATTGTCTAGCTTCTGCAGCGGCTGATCATCTAATGCTCATCTTTTGTGAGCTTTTTAATTTTCAGCCTCTCTTGATGCTGCATTGCGTTGAACATTTAATGTATGTCTTCTCTCAGCTTCTTGATTTTCAGACTGTATTGCTGCTGTCAGCCGTTGAGCATCTAATCTGCGTCTTCTATCAGCTTCTTCTTGATTTTCATAACTGTATTGCTGCTGCCAGCCGTTGAGCATCTAATCTGCGTCTTCTATCAGCGTCTTCTTGATTTTCAGACTGTCTTGCTGCTGCCGGCCGTTGAATAATCTGCGTCTTCTATCAGCTTCTTCTTGATTTTCAGACCATTGCTGCTGCCAGCCGTTGAGCATCTAATCTGCGTCTTCTATCAGCTTCTTCTTGATTTTCAGACTGTCTTGCTGCTTTGCGTCTTCTATCAGCGTCTTCTTGATTTTGACTGTACCTCTGTGAGCATCTAATCTAATGATTTTTTCGGAACTGGCCGTTGAGCATCTAGTTTTCAGACCGTTGCCAGCCGCATCTAATCTGCGTCTTCTATCAGCTTCTTCTTGATTTTCAGACTGTATCTGCCGGCCGTTGAGCATCTAATCTGCGTCTTCTATCAGCTTCTTCTTGATTTTCAGACTGTATTGCTGCTGCCGGCCGTTGAGCATCTAATCTGCGTCTTTTATCAGCGTCTTCTTGATCTTTTCAGACTGTATTGCTGCTGCCCGGCCGTTGAGCATCTAATCTGCGTCTTCTATCAGTTTCTTTGTCTTTTGACTGTATTGCTGCTGCCAGCCGTTGAGCATCTAATCTGCGTCTTTATTTCTGCTGCCGGCCGTTGCATCTAATCTGCGTCTTTTCAATTGTCTTGCTGCTGCCGGCCGTTGAGCATCTAATCTGCGTCTTCTATCAGCTTCTTCTTGATTTTCAGCTTGCTGCTGCCGGCCGTTGAGCATCTAATCTGCGTCTTCTATCAGCTTCTTCTTGATTTTCAGACTGTATTGCTGCTGCCGGCCGTTGAGCATCTAATCTGCGTCTTCTATCAGCTTCTTCTTGATTTTCAGCCTGTATTGCTGCTGCCAGCCGTTGAGCAAATCAACGTTGAGCATCTAATCTGCGTCTTCTATCAGCTTCTTCTTGATTTTCAGACTCTTGCTGCTGCCGGCCGTTGAGCATCTAATCTGCGTCTTCTATCAGCGTCTTCTTGATTTTTCAGATTTTCAAACTGTCTTGCTGCTGCCAACCGTTGAGCATCTAATCTGGGTCGTCTATCAGCTTCTTGATTTTCAGACTGTCTTGCTGCTGCCGGCCGTTGAGCATCTAATCTGCGTCTTCTATCAGCTTCTTCTTGATTTTCAGACTGTATTGCTGCTGCCAGCCGTTGAGCATCTAATCTGCGTCTTCTATCAGCTTCTTCTTGATTTTCAGACTGTATTGCTGCTGCCAGCCGTTGAGCATCTAATATGCGTCTTCTATCAGCTTCGTTTTCTTGATTTTCAGACTGTATTGCTGCTGCCGGCCGTTGAGCATCTAATCTGCGTCTTCTATCAGCTTCTTCTTGATTTTCAGACTGTATTTGCTGCCAGCCGTTGAGCATCTAATCTGCGTCTTCTATCAGCTTCTTCTTGATTTTTTCACCCTGTCTTGCTGCTGCCGGCCGTTGAGCATCTAATCTGCGTCTTCTATCAGCTTCTTCTTGATTTTCAGACTGTATTGCTGCCGGCCGTTGAGCATCTAATCTGCGTCTTCTATCTTCTTCTTGATTTTCAGACTGTATTGCTGCTGCCGGCCGTTGAGCATCTAATCTGCGTCTTCTATCAGCTTCTTCTTGATTTTCAGACTGTATTGCTGCGTTGAGCATCTAAGCCGTTGAGCTTCTTCTAATCTGCGTCTTCTATCAGCTAATTCTTGATTTTCAGACTGTATTGCTGCTGCCAGCCGTTGAGCATCTAATCTGCGTCTTCTATCAATGCTGCCGGCCGTTGAGCATCAATCTGCGTCTTCTATCAGCTTCTTCTGATTTTCAGCTGTATTTGCTGCCGGCCGTTGAGCATCTAATCTTCTATCAGCTTCTTGATTTTCACCCTGTCTTGCTGCTTGCATCTAATCTGCGTCTTCTATCCTGTCTTCTTGATTTTCAGATTGTATTGCTGCTGCTATCAGTTCTTGATTTTCTAACTGTATTTGCCAGCCGTTGAGCATCTAATCTGCGTTGAGCAAACTAATCTGCCGTTGAGCATCTAATCTGCGTGTTCTGACAGCTTCTTCTTGATTTTCAGACTGTATTGCTGCTGCCAGCCGTTGAGCATCTAATCTGCGTCTTCTATCAGCTTCTTGATTTTCACACTGTCTTGCTTCTGCCAGCCGTTGAGCATCTAATCTGCGTGTTCTGACAGCTTCTTCTTGATTTTCAGACTGTATTGCTGCTGCTAGCCGTTGAGCATCTAATCTGCGTCTTCTATCAGCTTCTTCTTGATTTTCAGACTGTTTTGCAAAGCCGTTGAGCATCTAATCTGCGTCTTCTATCAGCTTCTTCTTGATTTTCAAACTGTCTTGCTCTTGACCGTTGAGCATTTCTGCGTCTTCTATGTGATTTTGACTGTCTTGCTGCCGGCCGTTGAGCATCTAATCTGCGTCTTCTATCAGCGTCTTCTTGATTTTCAGACTGTATTGCTGCTGCCGGCCCGTTGAGCATCTAATCTGCGTCTTCTATCAGCTTCTTCTTGATTTTCAGACTGTATTGCTGCTGCCAGCCGTTGAGCATCTAATCTGCGTCTTCTATCAGCTTCTTCTTGATTTTCCTGTCTTGCTGCTGCCGGCCGTTGAGCATCTAATTGCGTCTTCTATCAGCTTCTTCTTGATTTTCAAACTGTCTTGCTGCTGCCAACCGTTGAGCATCTAATCTGCGTCTTCTATCGCGTCTTCTTGATTTTCAGACTGTATTGCTGCTGCCGGCCGTTGAGCATCTAATCTGCGTCTTCTATCAGCTTCAAATCGGCCGTTGAGCATCTAATCTGCGTCTTCTATCAGCTTCTAATTGCTCCTGCCGGCCGTTGAGCATCTAATCTGCGTCTTCTATCAGCGTCTTCTTGATTTTCAGACTGTATTGCTGCTGCCGGCCGTTGAGCATCTAATCTGCGTCTTCTATCAGCTTCTTCTTGATTTTCAGACTGTATTATTGCTGCCGGCCGTTGAGCATCTAATCTGCGTCTTCTATCAGCTTCTTCTTGATTTTCAGACTGTATTGCTGCTGCCGGCCGTTGAGCATCTAATCTGCGTCTTCTATCAGCTTCTTCTTGATTTTCAGACTGTCTTGCTGCTTCGTTGAGCATCTGAATCTGCGTCTTCTATCAGCGTATTTTCAGACTGTATTGCTTGCCGGCCGTTGCATCTAATCTGCGTCTTTATCAGACTTGATTTTATTGCTGCTGCCGGCCGTTGAGCATCTAATCTGCGTCTTCTATCAGCTTCTTCTTGATTTTCAGACTGATTGCTGCTGCCGGCCGTTGAGCATCTAATCTGCGTCTTCTATCAGCTTCTTCTTGATTTTCAAACTAATTGCTGCTGCCAGCCGTTGAGCATCTAATCTGCGTCTTCTATCTAATTGATTTTCACCCTGTCTTGCTCTGCCGGCCGTTGAGCATCTAATCTGGCGTCTTCTATCAGCGTCTTTTGATTTTTTTCAGACTGTATTGCTGCTGCCGGCCGTTGAGCATCTAATCTGCGTCTTCTATCAGCGTCTTCTTGATTTTCAGACTGTATTGCTGCTGCCGGCCGTTGAGCATCTAATCTGCGTCTTCTATCAGCTTCTTCTTGATTTTCAGACAGCCGTTGAGCATCTAATCTGCGTCTTCTATCAACTAATTGATTTTTTGTCTTGCTGCTGCCGGCCGTTGAGCATCTAATCTGCGTCTTCTATCAGCTTCTTCTTGATTTTCAGACTGTATTGCTGCTTTAAGCCGTTGAGCATCTCTAATCTTCTTCTTCTATCATTCTTCTTGATTTTCAGACTGTATTGCTGCTGCCGGCCGTTGAGCATCTAATCTGCGTCTTCTATCAGAAGACGTTGTATTTGCTCTTGCCATGCCGTTGAGCATCTAATCTGCGTCTTCTATCAGCTTCTTCTTGATTTTTCAGACTGTCTTGCTGCTGCCGGCCGTTGAGCATCTAATCTGCGTCTTCTATCAGCGTCTTCATGATTTTCAGACTGTATTGCTGCTGCCGGCCGTTGAGCATCTAATCTGCGTCTTCTATCAGCTTCTTCTTGATTTTCAGACTGTATTGCTGCTGCCGGCCGTTGAGCATCTAATCTGCGTCTTCTATCAGCTTCTTCTTTTTGAATGCCGGCCGTTGAGCATCTAATTGTCTTCTATCAGCTTGATTTTCAGACTGTCTTGCTGGCCGTTGAGCATCTAATCTGCGTCTTCTATCAGCTTCTTCTTGATTTTTTGCTGCCGGCCGTTGAGCATCTAATCTGCGTCTTCTAGCTTCTTCTTGATTTTTCTGCTGCCGGCCGTTGATTTTCAGACTGATTTTAACTGTTGCTGCTGCCGGGCGTTGAGCATCTAATCTGCGTCTTCTATCAGCTTCTTCTTGATTTTCAACTGTCTTGCTGCTGCCAGCCGTTGAGCATCTAATCTGCGTCTTCTATCAGCGTCTTCTTGATTTTCAGACTGTATTGCTGCTGCCGGCCGTTGAGCATCTAATCTGCGTCTTCTATCAGCTTCTTCTTGATTTTCAGACTGTATTTTTCGTTGAGCATCTAATCTGCGTCTTCTATCCTGATTTTCTTGCTGCGGCCGTTGAGCATCTAATCTGCGTCTTCTATCAGCTTCTTCTTGATTTTCAGACTGTACACTGCTGCCGGCCGTTGAGCATCTAATCTGCGTCTTCTATCAGCTTCTTCTTGATTTTCTAACTGTATTGCTGCTGCCGGCCGTTGAGCATCTAATCTGCGTCTTCTATCAGCTGTCTTCCGGCCGTTGAGCATCTAATCTGCGTCTTGCGTCTTCTTGATTTTCAGACTGTATTGCTGCTGCCGGCCGTTGAGCATCTAATCTGCGTCTTCTATCAGCTTCTTCGTTGATTTTCAGACTGTCTTGCTGCTGCCGGCCGTTGAGCATCTAATCTCTTCTTGATTTTGCTGTCTTCTGCTGCCGCATCTAATCTGCGTTCAGCTTCTTCATTTTCTGTATTCTGCGCCGGCCGTTTCTCTTCTTCTTGATTTTCAGAGTATTGCTGCTGCCGGCCGTTGAGCATCTAATCTGCGTCTTCTATCAGCTTCTTCTTGATTTTGCTGCCGCCGTTGAGCATCGTTGAGCATCTTCTAATTGATTTTCAGACTTCTATCGGCCGTTGAGCTTCTAATGATTTTCAGACTGCCGGCCGTTGAGCATCTAATCTGCGTCTTCTATCAGCTTCTTCTTGATTTTGCCTGCCGGCCGTTGAGCATCTAATCTGCGTCTTCTATCAGCTTCTTCTTGATTTTCAGACTGTCTTGCTCCTGCCGGCCGTTGAGCATCTAATCTGCGTCTTCTATCAGCGATTTTCTTTTGCTTCTATCAGCGTCTTCTTGATTTTCAGACTGTATTTGCTGCCGGCCGTTGAGCATCTAATCTGCGTCTTCTATCAGCTTCTTCTTGATTTTCAGACTGTATTGCTGCTGCCGGCCGTTGAGCATCTAATCTGCGTCTTCTATCAGCTTCTTCTTGATTTTCAGACTGTATTGCTGCTGCCTGCCGTTGAGCATCTAATCTGCGTCTTCTATCAGCTTCTTCTTGATTTTCAGACTGTATTGCTAATGCCGGCCGTTGCGTCTTCTATCGTCTTCTTGATTTTCAGACTGTATTGCTGCTGCCGGCCGTTGAGCATCTAATCTGCGTCTTCTATCAGCTTCTTCTTGATTTTCAAACTGTCTTGCTGCTGCCAACCGTTGAGCATCTAATCTGCGTCTTCTATCAGCTTCTTCTGATCACCATGTCTTGCTTGCCGGCCGTTGAGCATCTAATCAGTCTTCTATCAGCGTGTGATTTTCAGACTGTCTTGCTGCTGCCGGCCGTTGAGCATCTAATCTGCGTCTTCTATCAGCGTCTTCTTGATTTTGATTTTCTGCTGCCGGCCGTTGAGCATCTAATCTGCGTATTGCTGCTTGCCAGCCGTTGAGCATCTAATCTGCGTCTTCTATCAGCTTCTTGATTTTCACTGTCTTGCTTCTGCCGGCCGTTGAGCATCTAATCTGCGTCTTCTATCAGCGTCTTGATTTTGCTTTATTGCTGCTGCCAACCGTTGAGCATCTAATCTGCGTCTTCTATCAGCGTCTTCTTGATTTTCAGACTGTATTGCTGCTGCCGGCCGTTGAGCATCTAATCTGCGTCTTCTATCATCAGACTGTATTGCTGCTGCCGGCCGTTGAGCATCTAATCTGCGTCTTCTATCGCTTCTTCTTGATTTTTCAAACTGTCTTTGCCGGCCGTTGAGCATCTAATCTGCGTCTTCTATCTTCTTTGATTTTCAGACTGTATTGCTGCTGCCGTTGAGCCGTTGAGCATCTAATCTGCGTCTTCTATCTAAGTCTTCTATCAGCTTCTTCTTGATTTT